CAATTTGGGGTTCCTCCCCACAAAAAGTTCACACGCTGCTTGCTTTTTTGGAGTCTTCGGAATTGTCTTTGACTTTGTTTGGCTTTTGGCTTGTGAGTATATTTGTGTGTTCGCAGACCAGACGACAAGACAGCTGTTAAAGCAAATTAATCTAACAACAATAACAACAAGCGAGCCAGAAGAAACAGAGCGGGCAAAAAAAAAAAGAACAGCACGAGAATTCACAGCCCGACGACTCCAGTGAATCCATATTGAAATATTGTATGTAGAAATGCTCAGAGTATAGTTCAGCTGAAACTGAAATTGCTGATAAAACAAAGCTAAATGCCTTTGGAGGTGGGACAAGACGGTTTGGTTGCTAGGGAGGTGGAGGGGGTCACCAGCCAGTTGCACACTTGTACAGTAAACGCTCTAATAATTGTATTTTAATTTCATAACATTTTTCCATCATCATCTAAAGAATTTTTTGCTTTGATCACTGCTTAAACTTTTGCTATTTGAATCATTAAATATTGAATGGACTTACTGATAAGATGATCTACTTGCTAAAGAAAAGTGCGGTTCCGGATTTCGTTATACCGAGTATTTCCGATTTACCACTGTATTCCCCTATCAAATTCTTTAGCGGCTTGTATTGTTGCTGCTCTTCGTGTTGTTGCTTCCGCTTGTTGTTGTTTAGAAATAGAAATGATTTCACAATGTACTTTTTTTTTTTTTGGTGTCGCGCTTAGAGCTTCAGTTGACCGTTTCGTTCCGTTCAGCAACTAACTTACCCGGCCCACCTCCCGGTTTTTCCCCCCTCCACGCCCACCTATTAAAGTCCAAGACGAAGAGAAAGAAATAAAAATAAAAAATAAGGAATAACAACGAAAAACACAAAAACACGTTTTTCAGACTCGGTTTTTGCTGATTTCTTATTAGATATTCTTGTGCTGCTGCCTGTCCCGGTCTCCCCATCCATCCGTCTCGCTTGCTCTTGAAGGCACTTATTATTTATTCTTTCGCTGGCCCGCAACTCGTGGCTTTTGGTTTATGGTGATTCAGCTTAAAACGAGAAGTGAATGTGCCCCTGCACCACCACTGTGCCCCTTCCTCTGAAAGCGCTGGCAGAGCGGTAGGCGTCAACAGCGACGCCTGGGAGACACTTGGAAAAATATGAATCTAAACTTTAGTTACTAAAACCGCCTTTTTGGGTCATTTTTGGAACATCTTTTGAGGCTCAACCAAAATATTCTTTAAGAAGTTCTTAACTTGTAATTTTAAACTTTTGTTTATTATTTTTAAATAACAGGGAGCAATATATCATTAGCATTCAATTCATGTATATAATCTACATAAATTCTCAAAAAATATATTTTTCACAAAATACCAATAAAACACAGATTTTATTTACAGTGTAACTTATTTTGCATTTGGCGTTTGTGTTCCTTGGTTGTAAAATGTCAGTGTTAAATAATATTGTGTTTATTAAACCAGAAAAACGTAAGCAAATTTACCGTTGTCGGCGGTGAGTAAGCGATAGATGCAGTGAAAGAGGCAAGCGGGGAGAGAGAGAGAGGTAGACATATTTAGACCGAGCTTAAAGGAAACTGCATTTGAGTGAGTGAGAGAGTGAATAACTGACTGATTGATGGCCAAAAGCAAAAAAGCAAAAACAAGGAGGTGAGTGAGTGAGTGAGCAAGCTTGAAAAGTTGTTGCTGCTGTCAGTGGGTTCTACCGCGTTTTCTTCTTCTTCCTTAATGAAGGTCAATGTTCGTACGCCAACGCCGCTGTCGACGTTCTTCTCCGATTCCGATTCTTCACCGATTCCAATTCCTCAACTGATGTCGACGTTCTTCTCAGATTCTTCAGGCGCTTTGTTTGTTGATGTTGCTTGATGATTGGCCATTGTCGTTGTTGTTTTCGGTTCAGCTTATAGGTTACACTGGAAGAAACATTATGATAGGAAAAACATTCTATCAATTGGCTCTAAAACTCAAAAGGCAATGTTGAAAACATCATTATTAGTGGGCAAATAGGAAAATCTGATTTTTTAGAATTTCTTTTTAACAAAATTCGATAACGTTTGTTATTATTATCTGTTTTACGTTGAGTCTTGAGTTAAGGGCTCTCCTCTCTACCCATTTTCTCGCCCAATTCAAGTTAATTTGAGTACAAACAACTCCAAATAAAATAGAGGCCATAAAGCTGGTTAATGATACTTGATGGTTTTGTGCAGGCGTGGCTCTCAGCTGGAGTTCCCTTCGTTTAATTTTTCATCCAGCATAGAGACAATCTATGTAATTATGGAATAATTTAATTGTTTCATTTTTGAGCTGAAATACGCCTGCACTGGGAGCAGCACCCCTCGAAACTAATGTTTTCCGGGCTTGGCGGCCCCATCGGTAATCTGGCGGAACCTTTGACCGACCTAACCCTGAACCCTAACTCTCCGATTGCCCCGAAAGTACATAACTCTCCCCAGAGAACGAACGGTTCTCCTCCGTCAAAAGTTCTTTGGGGAAATTAGTGGGGAATTACCCACTCGAATCGGCAGAGGAAACATTCAAAATGCCCCTGAGAGAAAGGGAGGTCGCCTTTGCCAAGTTCAGTTCAAAGAACTTCCCACATCTGATTAAAGAAATAATCAAGGGGTGTGCAAAATATGGCGGTGGGGTTTTGGGAGTGAGGGGTAAGGCAAAGCAAACTTCTGGACCGAACCAAAAGTGCCATTTCCGTTGAACCACAAAAAATTATATGAGTACAGACGAACCTAAACAAATCTAACTTGTAATTTTGCTTAAATTAAATTCATATTTAGTTGAGTAATATAGAAGTCAAATTGAATTTTCAAAATGTTCTCAAGCTTAAACTTCTGATATGCATTTATATAATTGCTTTAAAACTCCTTAAACTAAACAAAATAAAAGTCACAAAGTAATTTAAATAAATTCCACTAAAAGTTAAAAAGAGCCACAAATATACTTAAAAAATAAAAACAAAAAATAACACAACGCATAATAAGACTTATTTTTAAATACCTTATCTATGATAAAGTAATGTTCTGAAAACTAAATTTTCCTCGTTAACCAACTTTGACTGTACGAGGCATATTAATTTGCCGCATCTAATATCGCAATTTGGAATGTTGTGAGAAGGAGTCGTTGCTCGAAAAGCACGCGGTTCGTTGGCTTTAAGAGTGTATCACAAGCAATTATGAACGTTGACCTTCTGGCCAAAAAAAAAAAAAAAGAAAAAAGTTTCCACTAACCGAAAAAGGTGAAAGAACACACACTCGGCCGGAGACCCCAAAAATGAAGGTAACAAAGACATTAGAAGAGGCTGCAAACTGCGAAATACGAACTGCGATGGCGGTGGAGCGGTGGAGAAAACCTAATGATGGCTGGGGGGAGGGAGGAAGGGTGGCACAGACAGAGAATAACCCAAGAACCAAGAAAGCCAAGAAGAAAATGCGCCAGAAGAACAAAAAGTTCTCAAAAGCAAACAGGCAAAGGAGAGGCAGATAATAATAAAGAAGGCGCACGCTGTCGAGTGCAAAACAAAGCGAATTTTTGGCCAACAACACAGACACAAAAGACTCTTCGGCCGGAGTCACGGGGTCTAAAGCACATATACTATATACACCGCTATACATATATATACATCTACATACATAGATTTATATATATATAGATGTGGGTACTATAACCTGGTCGCTGACTTTGGCTCTTTTTGAAAGTTGAAATGCTTGCCTAGGTAGAGCCAATAAACGAGTTTGAAACAAAAGAACAGAAACAGACGCTTAGCTAACCTATCTACCACTGCTACCCCCTCTAGCGCGCCCCCTCTCTCTGACCTCACCACCCCTTTTTTTTTTTTTTTTTGCGCGTGTGAAGATCGCGAACTGTGGGCGCTTGGGGAACGAAATGGTAACTGGAACAGCCGCTGCGGCATTGAACCGAGCCGAGAAGAAAACCAGAAAGGAAGGCTATATGTTGCTTGGGGGAGCAATTACCTGCCCTCCTCCTTCTCACAGGTCAATCATACCACTGGCAGTTGGAATATAATCTCTGATCCCAAATGGAATAAATTTCATAAATTTCAACTTAAAACAAGTTTTAGTCAATTTTAAAATTATGTTTGGTAACTTGACTATTTCTTTGACTTTTTACTAATGTTAGGAGACTTTAAGCAAGAGTTATCTATACCTTACGGGTTTATTAATCTTAAAACGCCAAATTATCTTTAGCTCCCCCTACCCTGTCTTGCCTTGTCTTTCAATTGTGGGGGTTTTTAAGCCTATTTTAATTCTAAGGTCATGAAAACCAGAAACACACAAAAAACTAGCATCTTTGATAAGAACATTTTCAAAGTCAAATACAAGCTCAGCGGGGGCAGTTCAGGTGACAAAGGTAGACTCAGCCAACCACCCCTTTTCATTAAACCACTCGAGCTGAGAAATTGCCCAAAAAGTGACAGTTAAAGCCGGTCATAATTAACAGCGTTCATCAATTACATAAGAACTCCCCGCCCACTCTCACACACACACCTCCCACCTTTGACAACAGACCACAGAGAGACAGAGCTCTTTAATGCGGTCTCATACTACCACCCACCCACCATTACCCGCAGGGAAGCTCCTTTTTTTTTGTGTACACTGAATAATTAACGTAAAGTGTTTCGCAGAGCAAGCCAAATAAAAAAAGTTGGTGGAGAAAGTAAAAGAGATTCAAAGGACATGTTAGAAATAATGCGTGTACTTAAGGGCTTTTATACCCTAGCGAATGGCTTCATTATGTGGCCAACAAGTTGGCCGTCAATGAAACACAGCAATTTTGTTCTTAATTATAATTGACGTGTTTTTATATTTAAGAATTTAATGCTTTTATGATATATCTCTTAAGTTAAGTTTTTAAGATTTGATTGCCTATAACCCCTGCATTTAGTTAGTGCCATAAATAGTCATTAAGAATATTTGATGATCATATCTAACATGATTAATTCTTTATTTGTTTTTCAGAAAAAACCTGTTAAACTTGACCTGAGGTCGGAATCTTACCGCTGACACTGGAAAGATTATGAGGTAAGTCTTGGCAAAGACAACAACATGCTTAAGAACTTTTAATTGCTTAAGAATCAGCTGTTTCCTAAGGGTATTCAAGGTTTCGTTGCGCTCTACCTTGTCGTGTTTGCTATATATCCGCATAGACAATAAATCTATCTGGAAACCGCTTTGGCATTATCCCTCTCTCTCTCCTTTTCAAGAAGCGTGTGTCCTTCGTACTAGAAACCCAATACCTGCCAGCATGTGTAGAGAGAAGCTCAATGGAGCGAGTTATGATGGGGGAAGGAAGGGGAAAACGGACGTTGGATTATTCATCATATCTCACGTACGCGTCTGATGTCTGGAGTAGCTGCTCCTCTTCTTCTCATTTATATGCCATGCGGGTGCCCCTTTAAAGGGAGACAGAGATGCTATATACGATAGAGGACCCCACATACCGAATGCGAAACATGTGCTAATGCTGTTATTATTTATATTTTTATACCCGCCACTCGTAAAGTTAAGGGGTATATTGTATTCGAAGCAAAGTATGTTACACTACGTTTTAACCTACAAAAAAGTTATGTTTATTATAAAAGGAAGACGATCTGTAACAGGAAAAGTTTCCAAATTTCATATTTTACGAACTTAATTAAAGGATATTTTTAGGTCGTGACACTAGACAAATATTGTTCTAACTTGTTGTTTCAACTTCCGCCCAAAGTTCGTGGCATAAGTGATATATTTCTCCACAGGACATTTATCAAGAGATTTGGCTGATGGAATCACAGATTTTATTTCAATTTTTTTTTGTATTAATGCCAAATCTGTTGGTTGTTGCCGTGCGAGAGCAACAAGTTTGCTCTTTTTTGTGGGGTTTTTGGTTGTTGTTGTTGTTGTTTTTTGTCTATTCATGGTCCGCAGGTCGCCGGTTAGTTGGTTTATTGACATCGGCGTTCTGCCTGCGTCGACTCGACGTCAGCGTTAGCCACACACTTTTTTCAAGTTCGTGAATTTTTTAGCCGTTCGTTGACTCTTGCCGTTGTTTTTTGTTTCTATGTCTGTTAACGTTTTATTTATTATGTCCAAACTAATGTCATTTTAAGGCTGTCTCTGTATTTGAGACTCCATCTCTTTCTTCTTTCTTCATTTAGGCGTTGTTTTTTGTTTTTTTGGTTTCAGTTTCGCCATTCGCTTCTAGTTAAAAGTCACTCGCCCCTTCGCAACAATATTTTCGCAACATTTTGACCAAACCGTGAACTTTCCAAGAATCACAAAAGAAAAGGCAAAAGAAAAAATCAAAAGAAAAAAAGCAAAAGAAAAAAGTTCAAACCAAAGTTCGGATTTCAACAAGCTGATTGAAATTTCCTGAGGGGGCGTCTTTTTCGTTTATTAGTTTAATGCGAATTATGAGGTCAGTGTAGAAACAAACAAAAAGACACAATAAAAGACAACAAATTCACAGCGGGAAGACACCGTAGAAGAAAGAAAGAACAGAGAAGAGAGTTCAATGAAGGTGCCCTCATTAGCTTTAATGTAAGGGGATATGGTGGGCGTTGAAAACCGAGAACTCACGACCTCGAACCTTTAATAGTGTCCCAAAAACCAAAGACAGATCCCCATAACCAAATGCGGGCCAAGTGGCTAAAGTTACGTACTCCACTTCTCGAAATTCAAATTGAAAAAAAAAAGGAAAACAAGTTGCCTTTTATCAGATTCTTATTCTTAGTATTCGGTTGCCAACTGAAAATAATTAATTAAAAAAAAAAAAAAGAGGTAAAACTTTATATAAATTCTGGCTTCTCAGATTTTTTTTCTAATTTATTAGTCTTTCTTTTAAGTTTGCAATTAACTTTCAATTTGTTGGGTTAAAAATTAGGATAGCAAATACAAGTAGCGAATAATTAACCTTAAAACTTGATTATTAACTGGGTTATAAAAACAAAAATGAAAAGAGCTCACACGAAAGAAAGGTAATTCTTGAAAAGAAAAATCCCGCTTTTTTATGCTGATGATCGTTTTCATTATGCCATGCATAATTTGCTCGAGTTCCGGAACTAAGAGGTGTAACTAACTGTTTATAATACCAACGCGGCAGATCCATTAGTGACATAAGAACTGACAATAGATGAGAAGAGAGCATGCAACACTTTCAGAATTTCTACCACTTCCTGCTTGTAAGAGAGGCTCGATCGAGTGATTGGATGTTTTATGTACGAGTATGTCCATATGTCTAGAGCAGAGCTCTTAAAACACGGCTTCACCTGGCATTAAAACGAGTGAAAAGGAGAGAAACAGAGAGAGAGAGAGAGAGAGAGAGAGAGGGAACGACAGCTGCATCGCCTGCTGCTGCTGCTGCTGCTAATTTCCGGTTTCAAGTGTCACATTTTGTTCCAGCCCAACGTCTTTCCCAAAAAAATTATTGAAAGAGCCATAACAAATATGTGATCGTTGTATTTTATATGGTTTATGGGTTGGGCTTTCCCCCTCCGATCAAGGGAAACATCTGGCGGCGGCTGTAGTAGTTGTTGTAGCTGCTGCTGTTGGCTGTGTGTGACAGCTGCTAAAAGGGATCGCACGTACGCCATCCCCTCCCTCATTTTGGCCCTCTCACTCTCTCACTCAATACCCATGAAAATGATTAGCCTGGCTGGGCTATTGAAACGCACTCGATTGAATTGTCTGTCAATATGGCAATAAAACAGTTGAGGCTGAGGTCGGTCGGCTAATGAACGTTGCCGTGTGGCGGGGTCTAACTTAAATTCCCCTCTTTCTTTCTCTCCCTGCTACCCTTTTATTGGGTGAAAGATAGAGCACTTTGAATTTCCCAAACTTTTTCTATTTCATTCTATATGTCAACACATCTTGATTAAAATCTAAATATTGTAACTATTATGTTTCTAAAGAAAGCAACTTTAAGCATATGAATTTATTATAATGTCCAGGGAAAGAGGGTATCCTTCAAAAATATATATTCAAATATTTTAAAATCTTACCTTTACCTGTTTTATAAAAAACAGATATGTTTCTTGCAAACATTTCTGTATTTTAAAAGATTTATTTGCAAACATTATAAATTTATTAAAAAAATTGATGACTGCGCAATTTTCATGTTTTTGTAGTCTTGTGTCAAGGTTTTATGGTCGATGCTAAACGCAAATTTTCTTCAATTGTCATTAAATAATAAATATTTTATTTTAGTTGGCATATACATAAGTTTTACTACAAGTCCCGAGTTTTTATGACTTACATGTGTATGTTTGTGTGTTAAAAAAAAAAATATATATTAAAATGGCTCTTAAATGCTAGTACTATTCAGTATTTTTATGGCTGGTGTCTTGCGGCAGATATGTATGTACGACTATATTCCAGTTTACGAAGTTTGACTGTATTTCTGGTCGTAGCGAAAATATTTCAACGCTTGGCGTAATTGTTTTTTCTTTGCCATTGGCGGCTGGCATTATGTTTTTTTTTTCTGCTTTTTTTTTGTGTGTTTGCTGGATTTTTTGCGGCCGTATCTTTTTTGCTACTTTAAGCACGTCGTTCGTCAGAGGAGTAAAGTCGAAGGTTCATGAACCGCCGGCAAGGACAAAAGCTCGGGCTCTGGCGGCGTAAGTGAGATGGCTATAAAGGTGGTATATAGACATATCGATCACATAGGGAGGCTGAAAACCGAACAGATATTTGTGCCCGTACCATATCCCACTATTCCACTTGTTTCCCTGCACCAGCCGCAACAGCAGCATTATCTTCCCATCCCACAGAGCCCCTTGAAATCATCAATTCGTGGAATTTCAGGCGGGCTAAACAAGAATGGGTTTTGTACCAAAGGAATGAAGGTACATAGGTTGTGCTTCGGTATTGAAGCATTAAGATACCTTAGAGGATACAAGGCCTCATATAAGGATAAACCTTTTTATATTATTATAATTATTTATAACTTATCTCCACAAAATAAAAATAAAATATAAACAAAAATTACTACAAATAAAAGCTATTGTAAAATTCAGAAATAGGAAACCCGAAAAAAATGAGTGTGGATAATCCGTGGCTTACGATGCGTCAGTGCGTGAGTCACGCAGCCTCACGAGCCGCACGATACGATACCATCGCAATTGGCGCACAAGAAATCACTGACCTTGACTTTAAACAAAGTTTAAGGCCCTTTGTGGCAGCAGCGAGTATATAGGTGCTTTTCAATGTATTTGTGTGCTTGTATTGTATATGTACATATATATATACATACTCGAACAAGCAACATAATTATAGAGCCGAGCGGCGTTTCTAGACTGGTTTATTCTCCAAAGTCCCCGGACGTACAATATCGCAGCGGCAGCGAAGTCAACGTCTGTGGTTGCCATTCCACGTTATTCTTTTCTTTTGATCAGAAAACGCTGAAAACGCACATGACGCAAGCGCGCAGACTTTTACCTTGCGTGCCCGTCTCTCCTCATCTCTTTCTTTCTAATTCTCCATCTCTCTTTCACATGTATTCCTATTGCATCAGCGCTTCAAGAAAAGTCACCAGTTGTAAACTAGCCTAGTTGGTAATGACCATAAAGAGCTAAACTAGCTTATACACAAGTTTAGACGTCTATTTTCAACAGAGCCAGCTATTACAGGTTCTTCCTTTCTCTGGAGCAATAGAATTAACAGTTTAGTTTAGTTTAATAGTTGTCTTAACGATTGTTTACTGTACAATGGGTAGTTATTTGGCCATCAAACTAGGTTTTATTTATTAAAATAAATCATTGGTTTTAGATTTGCTTTCTAACATTTTTTTAATATCCAAAGGTCTTAAAATAGTTTTTATTGTTGTTCTTTTATAACAGAATATATTTACATATATTAATATTTATGATCTTTCTTTAGAAACGCTCCTCTTACACAATATATAAAAGATTTTAATTTGCATGGCTTGATATTGATTGAAATTTCCTTTAAAAAGCAAAATACGTTTTGCATTTTAAAATAAATTAAAATATCAAATATAAATATAATCTGCTGCCCACCATCCATCATTGTTTATAGCACCGAGA